GTCCGCCTGACACGTCACACTGGAGGCTCCGTTCAGTCCGTATCCCTGGTCACAGGTGAACGTCACCACGTCCTGGTAGGAGTTCGCCCCGGCAGGACTCAGAGCTCCATTTACAGGGACCGTCAGAGTTGGACATGGCAACGCTAAAGCCAAGCAACATAGTGAGGAGGATGTCCAGAATACACCGATACCGGTTTATTGCACCGTACTTGAAATCAAAGCAAATATTTGACCTTTTTATGCGCTTTATTCAAATGTAAACATTCTTTCAAAACGTATTAGGTACGTACGTCTACATGTTGGAACCGGTTGACTCCAAGTTTGGTCCACCTGGCACGTGGTACTGGAGGCTCCATCCAGTCCGTATCCCTGGTCACAGGTGAACGTAACCACGTCCTGATAGGAGTTCGCTCCGGCAGGATTTAGAGCTCCATTAGGTAGTTGGGAGAGCGTCGGACATTCCCGGGCTAAAACAGTGATTTAAGTTAAGTCATCAACCATTATTATGAAATGCATGTTGTAAAAAAAAAGGTTCCATACAACGCCAAAGACTGTTGGTCTTTTTTATTCAAATGTTTCAATGATTCACACTTGCCATGAACTATAGCTTGTGCCTCTGATGTAGGAAGAAAGAATTAATAGACATTGCTTTACAATATCAATTTCAAACATATCTTATTTTTCTTACGTTGGCAGGTTGGTATGGGCGCACTCCATGTTTGGTCCACCTGGCAGGTCACACTAGAGGCTCCGTTCAGATCATATCCCTGGTCACAGGTGAACGTCACCACGTCCTGGTAAGAGTTCGCTCCAGCAAGAGTCAGGGCTCCATTTACTGGGGCCGTCAAACTAGGGCACTGACCGGCTAAAATGATGATAAACCTTGGTTATACACCGATCATGAATCTAATATTGTATGTTTTAGATGCTCCAAACAACCTCTTACAGCCAGAAGTAGACATTGGATAACAATAATAATGTTTTAACCCATCTTACGTTGGCATGTTGGAACAGGTGCACTCCATGTTTGGTCCGCCTGACACGTCACACTAGAGGCTCCGTTCAGTCCGTATCCCTGGTTACAGGTGAACGTCACTACGTCCTGGTAGGAGTTCGCTCCGACAGGACTCAGAGCTCCATTTACTGGAGCCGTCAGAGTCGGACATGGCAACGCTAGAACCAAGGAAAATTTTGAAATGGGTAAAAAGTACTTTTTTGTATTACATTGTTAAAAATTCAAACAATTACTTTGCATTTGACATACACTGTACTACATTTAAAGGCACAACATCATCTAAAAAAGCAAGACCGTACCTCTGCATGTTGGAACCGGTTCGCTCCATGTTTGATCTGATTGACACGTCACACTAGAGGCACCATCCAGTCTGTAACCCTGATTACAGGTGAACGTCACCACGTCCTGGTAGGAGTTCGCTCCGGCAGGACTCAGAGCACCGTTTGTTGGGGCCGTCAGAGTTGGGCATGGCAATGCTAAAACCAAGAAACATCGTATAAAGGATGTCCAATTCAACAAGAGGATTACCGTATATGTTAATTAAAATACTGCGTATTTAACATGTTTAATATATTTTTCTTGTTCTTACTCAGGAATGTTTAATTGTTCTTACTCAGGAATATCAATAAGTTAAATCGTTATTCTTTTGTATTTTTGCACTATTGTCTTTTCGTCTTGCATGTCTTGGCAAGCTAAATTGGCCGGTTGGAATCCCGCTGTTGGCATTATTTTAATTTCCCTTTTAACAATGCCGAAATGCCAGCTTTTTAAAAAGCTCTTCCGACTTGGCGTTCCCTTCATAGTTCTTTTTTTCAGACCGGGTCTGCTTTTTTAACAGCTTTTCTTGTTTAAGTACGTACGTCTGCATGTTGGAACAGGTTCGCTCCATGTTTGGTCCACCTGGCACGTGGTACTGGAGGCACCGTCTAGTCCGTATCCCTGGTCACAGGTGAACGTCACCACGTCCTGGTAGGAGTTCGCTCCAGTAGGGCTCAGAGCACCGTTTGCTGGGGCCGTCAGAGTTGGACATTGTCTGGCTAAAAAGATGCAAACACGTTCGTTATCATGAGCTCCTGACAAAAAATTGTTCCATACGGTATGTTCTTTATATATCCGAAATGCAGAAACGATCTCCCACAGCCATCAGCTATTTGTCTGTTCTTCGGTACATCTCATGCAGTATACGGTAGAAGTGAACAATGTAAACTTTGATAGATGTTGGTTTAACATATGAGTTTCAAATATTACGTTGGCATGTTGGAACAGGGGCACTCCATGTTTGGTCCGCCTGACACGTCACACTAGAGGCTCCGTTCAGTCCGTATCCCTGGTCACAGGTGAACGTCACCACGTCCTGGTAGGAGTTCGCTCCGGCAGGACTCAGAGCTCCATTTGCTGGGGCCGTCAGTGTAGGGCATTGTCTGGCTAAAAAGATACAAATATTAAACCTACTTTAAAAACGTTACAAACTCGGGCCGTCAAATTCGGACACGGCAACGCTGAAACCTACTTAGATGCATTGTAAGGAGAATGTTCAAAATACGACATTTGGTAAGTCCTGATAGATAAATGACAAAAACAATATATTACTAGTGATTACCTCTTAATTGTTAGTGAAACAATTATTTGAAATCATTTATTAATTATTTCCATCGGCTAAACCTTCTTTTAAGACAGGGGTACTTACGTTGGCATGTTGGAACAGGCGCACTCCATGTTTGGTCCGCCTGGCACGTCACACTAGACGCTCCGTTCAGTCCGTATCCCTGGTCACAGGTGAACGTCACCACGTCCTGGTAGGAGTTCGCTGCGGCAGGACTCAGAGCTCCATTTACTGGGGCCGTCAGAGTCGGGCATGGCAACGCTAAAACCAAAAAACACGGTAAGAAGGATGTCCAAAACGCAATATGTGGTAAATCGTGATGAATAAATGAATAGAAATATTACTAATTTACTCCTAATTAGTACAGATTTATGCATTGATTTAATTGGGAAATGCTGTTGTAAAACCTGGGTACATACGTTGACAGGTTGGAACAGGCGCACTCCATGTTTGGTCCACCTGGCACGTCACACTAGAGGCTCCGTTCAGTCCGTATCCCTGGTCACAGGTGAACGTCACCACGTCCTGGTAGGAGTTCGCTCCGGCAGGACTCAGAGCTCCATTTGCTGGAGCCGTCAGAGTCGGGCATGGCAACGCTGAAACCAAGAAACATTGGAAGGAGGACGTCCAAAATAAAATGTGTCAAATCTCAATAGATAAATGAAAACAACATCGACACACTACACGTAATTACCTCTTAATTGTTAATGTAACAATTATGTGAGATAAATTATTCGTTGTTTTAAACGGCAAAACCTTCTTTTAAAACTGAGGTACTTACGTTGGCAAGTTGGAATAGGAGCACTCCATGTTTGGTCAGCCTGACACGTCACACTAGAGGCTCCGTTCAGTCCGTATCCCTGGTCACAGGTGAACGTCACCACGTCCTGGTAGGAGTTCGCTCCGGTAGGATTCAGAGCTCCATTTACTGGATCCGTCAGTGTTTGGCATTGTCTAGCTGAAAAGATAGAAAAACGTATGTTAGTAACTCAGTAAGAATTTCATACAGCATGTTTTACATAGTTTTCCAATCTCCTACACATACAGGATATGGCTATTTTATTTTTGAAACATCTTTTAAGATACGCACTTGTGATTTGATACAATGTTCCATGTCAACGTAAAGACAAAGATTTCATAGATATTCGTTAACAACATCCATTTTTAAAACCCATCATACGTTGGCATGATGGAATTGGTGCACTCCATGTTTGGTCCGCCTGGCACGTCACACTAGAGGCTCCGTTCAGTCCGTATCCCTGGTCACAGGTGAACGTCACCACGTCCTGGTAGGAGTTCGCTCCGGCAGGACTTAGAGCTCCATTTGCTGGAGCCGTCAGAGCCGGACATGGCAAAGCTATAAACAAAAAATATTGTGATGAGGATGTCAATACAATGTGTGGTTAATCTCGATAGATAGATAAAACTATGTTACTCATTACACAAAATCATATCCAGTTGCTTAAGTAACTGTTTTTGGCGTATCTTATTACCTGATGTCTAAC